GAACCTTTCCTTCAACAACATGGTATCTAAGTCTTGTGATTAATAACCTCATTTCATTGCACAAGCCATTGGATTGATTAATTTTTCTCAAAAACATAGTTAGGATGCCTACTTTGAAAGTCATTTATAATTTAGAAATCCTGAAGCAATGAATGTGTTACGTACTTCGAGGAAATATGTCTGTTGATTGATATTGTAGTCCAAATCATCTATGCAAACTGAATTTGAACATAATTAGTGTTTTTTTTTTTAACACTTTTAATGCTTGACATCAAATGATTATTCAACATAGCAACATCCTTAACTATTGGAGACAAAATGAAGTGCTCTTGGAAAAACTTAATATCTTGTTCCTTTTCTGCTCAAAAAGTTTGGGTACACAAAATCCACAAGTTTAGCAAGTACATTAACATCATCCTTAATCAACATTTATTTTGGAATCTTAATAATTTACTCACCAGCAACATCATCTCTAATCTCTTTATCTTCAGCTTTCAATAATCACTCTAAAAATTCCCTTAACTTGATCAAATGTTGGTTAAATAAGCTGTTTATAATCTCAGATTTTTTTACAAAAGTTAAAACCTGACAATAATCTCATAGAGAGAAAGGGTTAATTGTTGCATAAATAATTTCTTGCCTACTACCATAAGGAACAATTGGTGAAATTTATCTAAAGTCACCTCCAAGAATTATAATAATCCCTCCAAAAGGTCCTTTTGAAATGTCATTGTCATATTTAAGGATGTCTTTTAAGGAGGATTTGTCTAATGCCTCAAAACAAAATCTATGTGACATTGGAGCCTTATCCTATATAATTAATTTAGTCTTTGACAACAACTCAGCCAAAGGGGTCCTTTTTTTGATGTTGTAAGAAGACTCCTCATTTTTATCTATTCGTATAGCCAATCTAGAATATGTTGTTCTTCTTCCAAGTAGCAATTCAGCAACAATACCACTTGAAGCAACATTAAGAATAATTTGTACCCTTGATCTAAAAGATGTTGATAAAGTTTTCCAAACAAATTTTTTTCCAATCCCTTCAAAACCATATAAAAAGAAAATACCTTTTCTACTCCCATTAGTTGCCAGCATTATAGTATCATAAACCTTTCTTTGCTCATTGGTGAAACATGATAAATACTTCTTGAGTTTTTCAGATAAAAAAGCCTTGTCACAATTCATCCAAAATCAATTTATTATGTATGCCAAAAAATATCACACAATTGGACTTTAGCATGGAAGAAAAATCATCAAGACTCTTTCCATTTCCCTGATGAACTTTCTCAGTTTCAGCAAGAGCATTATTCTTAATTTCCTCATCACTCATATGCAAATTTAAAATGAACAATAAAATATAAAACATGCAAATGGAAAAATAAGGAAAACAATGTAAGAATTACTTCTCTTGACTCCTTAATTTCCATAATAGGCTTTCTTAAGGTAGAAACCAAAACTTATTGATCAAATGACACTGTGCTAGAGCTTATTATGCTTAGTTTTTTTATGTTAACCCCTTTATCAATAAGGATTCTACAAATATCAAATTTAGGTAAGTAAGAATAGATATATTAATAAATAGCAAGGAAAATAAGAGAAAAACTATTAAACATAGTAATAGGACCTCTTCTCAAATGCCAAAACCTCAAAAATATTATATTTATTTCTAAAAATACTTGTATGGAACATGGTGTTGAAAATCCTCATCACATCTAAACAACCACAAAAAAAAAGTATAAAACTTCAAAAATATAATTTAAAGAAAATACTAAAATTGATAATTAAAAAAGAAGATGAGTAAAACCTTTCCATGATTTTAGCTTAGCGAATTGAATGACAAAGATAATAGGTTCATTAGGGTTTTTATTAATCACCGAAAATATTTCATCAGTAAAATTTTCCTAAAGGGTATATTGAAGCTTATTATCGCTGTTTGAAAGAAGAAAGATAAAGAAATTGAAAGAAATAAAATAGAAATTACTATTAAAAATGAGAATATTTGAATAAAAAATATCTTAAATCATCAAGTTCAAATGAAATCATATTTAATGGAGAACCATTTTTGGTCAATTCCTTCTTCTCAACAATAATAGATAACAACACAATAACATCTGCAAAGGAGCAAATCACTTAATATAGAAATCAAATTAACTCGATCGTACAATTCAATAAACTGCAACAAATAAAAATATAATGAAATTGTACAATACTAATTCTGCCGACTAAGAAAGTATTTTCTCAAGTTTAGTTCAAAATCTTATCAAGCATAATGAAAGAAAAGGCATAATGAACAATGTTGGAATCATTAATCAAACTATGAGTAGCCCTAGGATTTGAAATAATCTTGTATGCATGGGTGGTTGGAATGATCTTTATTCCAAGAAACACCAAATTTTGAAATTGTATAAACTACTTTTTTATTAAAAGCATCTTTAAAACACAAAGAAGGCTTAACAGTTGCTTGAATCCTTTCCTTTGAACAAAACATGTAAAAGTGGTAAAAGTGAGAAATCTCTAAAATCAAACTTCAGATTATCAAATCAAAGCCAAAGTTAAAATGCAAAATACTCACCAATTCATCCAAAAGAAATATGTCAATATTCTCACTCAGTTTTGGTTGTTGAAAATTCTTTTGCCTTCAAAACCTAATAACCTTGACCTTATCCTCCATTGCTCTTTCAAAATATTAAGATCTTTAATCAAATCAAACCTTCTAGCCATTAAGATCTATATGTTTTCTAAATATTTAAAAAAGATAGTCAATATGATATTATATATACATTCATAGTAGACCTTTCAAATGACATATATTTATTGAATAAATTATGAATAGAAATTGAAAAAATAAAGGGCCCGACAATTTTAGATAATAAGATGAATATATATTACCAAAGTATTGGAAATTTAAGATATAAATGGGGCCTTTGAATATTGATATTAAAATAAACCAATGGTTCTATTGAAAAGTTAATGACACAAGAAGTGAAATTAAAATGGAAAACCAACTATACACAATAAAAATGAATAAAAATGGAGTAGAAAAATTATATCATTTATCTGGGAAAATGGAACACAATCAATTCCTATATACAGTAATCCCAAAAAATTTTCAATGCAAAAATGTAATTGATACTGAAAAATTGTAAAGAACAGGAAATCACAAAAAATTTAATTCAACTTTATTCAAATCCTATATCCAAATACTAGTTAGAAGATAATAATTTTAGCTTGAAATTTATTTCCATATGCTAAATTATTGATACTTGATAGAAAATTAAAAAATATGCATCAATCCAAATCTTTGTTAGAAAGGAAAGAAAGTGTGAAGATGGAAATTAAATTAGAAAAGATACACATTAGTAAAAAAATTCATATCTCCAAGACTAAACATTCAATTAATTGCAACCAAATCCAAGTATATATCAATTTCTGATTAAAAAGAAATAGATCAAAAGAAAGAAGCAAAAAATACCTCCATTTGATGAAGATCGACTCTTGCTGATCTGCAATGAAGAGATTTTTTTTTTTTTTTTGGTATTAATTTTAAAATAATAATCATTTTCTCCTATCTTAATGAAGAGATTTTTTTTTTTTTTTTTGGGTAAGCATTTGCAATGAAGGGTAAGTTCCACGCCCACATATAAGGAGCTCAAAATGCAAACATGTAGTGACTCGTCCAAACTAGAAATTGTTTAATCCGCCATGCAAGGGTTCAATGGCTGTGGGCTTTGGTGAAGAAGGGGGTTCAACAACAATGAGGGAGAGGAGAATGGAGTTTTAGTTTGTGGAGAGAAGTGGAGAAGACAAGCTTCTGCACTTTTCTCTTATATTTTCATTTTGGTTTAATACCCAATTCGGTCCTTAAACTTTCATTTTAGAACTTAGTTCGTCCTTCAACTTCAAAAAGCACCTAAGTTGTCCTTTAACTTTATTTTTCTGTAACCCAAATGGTCCTTCCGTTGGTAGACTACATACCTAGCACGTTAAGTGTCCAACAATTACCACTTTTAATTTTTACAAGCCTACGTGGAAAAAACAACTTAGCCAATTGATTACATGGCACTATTTTCGTTCCACATTTGATAAAATAAAAACAGATTGGTTTAATACCCCTAAATCCTTCTTCGAAATCCCTAAAATTAGAAACCCCTAAATCCTCTGCACCATTCCGGCCGACTGCTCAGTTTCCAGCAACCATTCCAGCCAATTGCTTAGTTTCCAAAAATGAAATGATTCCAAAAATGAGAAAGCAATCGACGATGGCTGCAGATCAAACTTGATTCCTTCTTTTTCAACAGCAAGTCTTGATTCTTTGTTCTTTGAATTGTTGATTCCTTCTTCGACCCTAAATCCTCTGCAAGTCTTTCTTCTTTGAACCCTTCTTCGACCCCTAAAGCCTCTGCAGGTCTTTCTTCTCCAAACCCTTCTTCGACCTCTAAATCCTCTACAAGTCTTGATTCTTTTCCTTCTTCAAACCCTAAATCTTCTACACTTTGTGATTCCTTTTTCTTCCTTTGAACTGTATAACCTCTGCTATTTGTCTTTTGGCTTTTGAGTTTGTGAGAATCATAAAATGGAAGTTGGTTATGCATGGAGTTTGGTTCTAGGTTCAAGTTCAGGTTCATTTGAGGGTGGAAGCATGATAGATTCTACAGAGTTTAGAAATGAAGAGTATAAATGCAACTGTGGATTAAATGCTATTATTCGGACTTCGTTTACTTTTCAAAACATGGGTAAGAGGTTTAGATGTTGTCCTAAGAAGAAGGTAATTTCTTTATTTTTTTTGTTAATGGTTTTGGTTTTTCTCAATTGGTTATTTAGTTTACAAGATTTCTATGTAGGATCCTTACAATTACTTCCATTTCCTAGCTAGTGAGGAAAAGATCGAGGGTAGAGTGATGGAGTTGTTGCTGGTTTTGAAAGATAAAGAATGCAAAGTTGTTAAAGAGAAGGAGAAAATAATGTAAGAAAAAGATGAGCTTCTGTTGGAAAATGGAAGATTGATGGAGGAAAATGGAAAATTATTGACTGAAAATGGGAAATTGTTGCAAGAAAATGTGCAATTGAAGAAACACAGTGGATTAATGGATAAAAAAGTAAGAGTTTTGGAGAAGGAAATGAAGAAGGTGGCAAAAAGACACTCAAAAGCCATGATGATCAGTGAAGTGATTTGTTTGGTATTTTTAATTTTCATTGGTTTGATTTTTGGTGTATTGTTACTTAGAATCACCAAATATTAGGCATGTGGGTCTTGGTTGTGGTTTTTGTAATTCAATGTTATAGATGGTTTTTGCAATTCAATGGAAGAGATGGTCTTTGCTGGAATATATGTATATTTGTTGTTTTATCTATCAAAATCCATTCACTTTGTTGGTTAACCTGTTATTGTCTTGCAATAGTATATCTAACAAAATTCTGTATGGCCATTCAAATTACCAGTTAAAAGTATGACATATACAAAAGGCAACTTGCCACATATGAGACCATATCAACAAATTTGAGAAACAGCTAGTGAAAACTAAACACACATCATAGTGTGTTGCTTAGTCTAACAAAACCATACTAACCGAAAATAAAAAACAAACAAGAAAATGCAGAAAACACAAGATCTAAGCTGAAATTCAATCGGAACTTAAAAGAAGACTTATGTTGCTTGATTTGATCTAGAACCTAAAAAACCTCCAAGTGAAGCTTCTTCATTATTTTGCTTCACCATTTTCCTTGCTTCCTGCATCTGTTTTGCTTGTGCTTGCAGTTGCCTAACAGTAATAAATTGGTAACCAGTCCCAACTCCAATGCTTGGTTCTTTTGCTTATTTGTTGCACTTGAGCCATTTACTGAACTACCCTCTCCTTGAATTAATATTCACATTTGTAAAATGGTCTTACTCCAAAGAAAAACAACAAAAATGGAGAGCAACCATGTGAATAGTATCTGTGAACAATATCTATTATAACTTAAAAAAAAAAAGTAGCAACTATGTGAATAGTATCTGTGAGCAGTATCTGGAATAACATAAAAAAAAGTAGAATCTTGCAACACCAGTAACAATAACTTACTTCACAATTTGCAACCTTCAAAGCTGGCATTAAGCTAATAGAAACAATGGTCTACTCAATAGAACAATGGCAAAACTATATTAACAGCAAATGATAATTCAAGCAATTATGTAGCTATCAACCCTATCATACCATAAGACATTATTTCTTCACAATTTTATAAAGCCAAAAAAGGGAAATTTGATATTTACTGCCTTTAACTATCTTATTTATCCATTACATTGTATAGCCAAAAGACATTATACATTTAACTGGCTTTTTGAAAAATTTAAGATATAAATTGATTAATCCACTTCTTCCACTCTAAATTTCTTTCATCTAGAACGATTATTTGTATAGTATCTAGCAAAAACTAAAAGAAGAAAACTTCTACATGAAGCGCATGATTTAGTCTTAATCTAAAAGAACACAACACTACTACTTTCACTTTGCTCTAAATCTGTCATCCCATCTACGCATTAAAGAGATAAGAACAGATCAATAGAAGAGAGTTATAATGGAAACTACAAAAGACAAGAAACATCTATAGTGGGGAGAATTGCTTAAAGCAAATTATGTAGCTTCCAAGTGGTTCATGGATAGTTTGAAAGCAAAAATCCAAGAGAACATAATTGAAAAAGGTTTTTCATCCCACATGGACATAAATAAAGAAGCAAGCATGTTGGCATAAGAAGCAGAAAACAATTACAAAATCAAGTGAATCAAGTGCATGACTTTAATGAAAATGCATGTTGGCGTAAGAAGCAGAAAACTCTGCCTGGAATTTCAAGAAACAAACAAATTAAAGACTAAGTACTGCATCTTTTCAAAAAATAGTGCAACAATACTAAATTAATAATAAATTACCTTTTGCTTTTGCCTTTTTGCTGGTGTCTTGGCATTTTTTTGGGATGCTTGATATGAGTTTAAATATCCCCTTCCCTTGGGACAAGAGTTGCTTCCCTTGGGACAAGAGTTGCTTCCCTTGGGACAAGAGTTGCTTCACTTGATAATGTACCATCAAGAGGAGGGGTTTGAGCAACTTTTGAAGATGAAGACCTTTTAATAGGGAGCTTGACTCTTTTGCTGGGTTGCTGGACAAGAGCAAGTTGCTGGACAGGAGTAAGTTGTTGGACAAGGGTGAGTTGCTGGACAGTTTGCTGAAAATGAGTCGGTTGTTGGATATGTTGCTGGACAAGTTGCTAGATAGTAGCAAAATTAGGAACTTGTTCTTCAGTGGTAGCTAGTGGATTTGATGCTTCAGTCACAAGAACTTGTCCCTCATTGCCATTTACATTTTGAGGGGCCTGCACCAAAATTGAAAAAACATTATTACAACCTAAATAACAGATTAAAAAAAGCTAATAATCACTCATAGTTGTGGGTCCTTGTTCTTTGCATGATCTTGAATTATGGCCTTTTTTAAAACACTTTTAACAAAGTCATCAATCTCCCTTTTTTTACTGAATTTGGTTTGACCTTCCCATTCTTCCAAAACTCCCTTCTTTTTTGGTCTTCTCGGCATCTTTCTTATCATTGGTGGTTGAAT